GTCACGCGCGGCGCGGGAGGAGGGGGGGGGGGGGAGGATGCTGGGACTCACTGGAAAAAGAGGAATTGGAGAGAAAAAAAAAGCCTCCCAGTTATAAAAATAAAACCTAAAGCTTTCATATCACTTAAAAGGTCAGCTTTCTGGACCTTGCAGTCAAAACTCTAACACGTGCATGCTTTGACTGGATGGGGTCTCAAAAGTTGTCTAGTGTTGGTAACTATTGATCACCAATCCTCACTAAGGAAGCCTAGACCCTGTGGGTCAGTGGACCCTTCAACTGTCAAGAGAAATTTCCCCTTATAGACTTGTAGGTTGTTGGGGGAACATCCTCCCAAAAGTCTCCCCTTGTTGACTCGTTGTCTTAAGTCGCTCATAACCTGGGAGCCTGTACCTCCGCAGTGATTAAGGAGTCCTTAAAAAGTAGAACAGTCTCGCTATAACTTGGCTTCGCTCTTTCAGAACTTGTGGGTATAAGCTATCTGGTCCTGGGGATTTCTTCACATTAAGTTTCTCCAGTCCGCACATTGCTGTTCATTAAACCCATCTTTTTCCCAATCAAATACTGTGGAGAATAATGCAATACCTCAGCCTTCTCCCTGTGATCTGTGATCCACCTCCTGTTTTCATCTTTAATGTGACCGACTTGTTCTTTTACCTTTTTACCGTTAGTACTGTATTATTTTAAGTATTTTTTTTGTTTTTTTACTGACAATGTTGTTCAAATTCTTTTTTTTTTTTTGCCTGGATTGCACTTTTACATCTTTTATTGCATTCCTTGTAGTTCGGAAATGCCAATGTTGTCCCTTCCACATTATACTTTTAAATACAAGCCTCTTCTCATTGATATGCTGGATTCAGCCACGCAGATTTAACCATTGTTTTTATTTTTGTTGCCCGAGGGTATGCACTGGCAAATGCGATTGTTTAGTTTATACTTAAAACAATCCCATTTTCCCTCCATGTTTTGTTAAAAATAAAATTGGTCCCATTTGGCATCCTGCAATAAGAATGCTAGCTTATCAAAATGTCTGACGGTTCTCATTCATCCAGGTCATGGTATATCTGTAAAAAATAAGTCAAGTCAAATGGACTTGCTGTATTTTTCTTGAAGACGTTTCACTGGACATCCAACCAGCTTTCTCAATTCAGAATGATCTGTACAAACATTTCTCTGGGAATAAATATGGTGAATGTCGCTCCAATCCACATAATCTGTTAGTCACAACCAGGTGTTGATTGTATTTGCATAATTGGAGTTAAGAGGTTAACATCATTGTATGTGGCAGACAATAGATGTGTTACAACCCCCCCCACCCCGCAATCTCTATTCAAGCTTGTCAAAGTTTGCCTTTTTGCAGTTTAGAGTTCTTGTCAAGCCACCATTCCTCTTTTCTGTAACCTACTGTAAATGTAATCATCCTGTGATCACAGTTACCCAAGTTTTCCGGTGTCTGCAACCAGCTCTGTTTGAAATGATTCGATCTAATGTAGCATTCATCCGATTTGGGACTTCTGCCGTTTGTTCCATGAAACCGTCCTGCAATAAATTCAGGAAATGGCAAGCCTTGGTTGAGTGTGCGGTTCCTTTTGTCCAACCAATGTCCGGTGCGCCCACTTCTAGCCATGTTCAGCTTTATCAAAATAGAACATAAGACCAAAAGACCGAATAACAAGTTCCATCTTTTTATTCATACAGTATGAAGTTTTCTACAGTTCCTACAAGTTATATAGCATGCAAAGGAAACAAACAATGAAAAAAAACAAAAAAACATTCAACATTAACCATTTCCCTCACACAAATTAAAAAAAAAAAAATCTCCAATAAGGAAATGCTTGCTATCTGAAAGTCGGCCTAGGTATGCACAAGCATTAGAAATAGAAAGCATCCGCTAAAATGTTTAAACACAACGTATGTACAAAAAAAAAAAAAAAATTTCCCAAAAGACTAAATCCCCCTTGAAGCAGAGCACATGGCAGCTGACACTGGAACAGAAGACCACTGGCTTGTTTGGCAATTTCTTTTTTTTATTTTAATATTTATATATATATATTTATATATAATGCAAACTATGTAAACAAGAGGAACATTTCAAAAAAATCGATCTACATGCAAAACTCCATGTCATGCAAGGACACCAAGCACCTTGATTTCTCTCGCACAGACAGAGCCCATGATGTGCAGCACTCAGTTGAAGGAACAGCTATGGCAAGCAGGCAATACTTTACCTGCCCTCACTAAATCACTAAAAAAAAAAATGGATATGGTTTCAAGAGTCCAAAAAAAAAAAAGTTGTTTGGTTTTACTTTTTTCCAGCCAATAGTACAACAACAGAAAAAAAAGGAGGTGGAAAAAGTTAAGTGTCTCACTACTTTTATATCACACATGATGGGAGTAATTACGGACAGAGCAGAACAAAATGGCTTATTTTCACAAACAGTAATAGAAAACATTCCACCAGGACAAAGAACCTCTCCTATAACCAATATACATATATTGTCACCAGTCATGCTGCCTGCAGTAGTCTGTTCAATTCAGTTGGCAGGGAGGAGTGAATAAATCCTGACTATGTCAAATCGGCTTATATAAATGGACAGGGGTCCTTGTAGAGTGTATACCTATTGCAGCTGATGGAATAGTACACTTTGGATGACTTGCTTTGGCAACTACAGAAAGCAAGAGATATAGGTTCTGTGCAGTTGCTATTAACAGTTCTTCACTTGGCAGTAACATTCAAGTATATTTACAAAGTATACATTTTTCTACAATATATATATATTTATAAAACTGTGTGAAATAAAAGTAAGGATTTATATTCATGTATTGAACGGCTTATGTTCTGCTTGGCACTTTTTACTCTAGGTTTTGTTTTGTCGTTTCTTTTACTCAAGTAAATTAAATTAAAGCCCACCTAATGACTACATAGAAAGCTATATATATATATTCCTTGTTTATAAAAGATGAAGAAACAAAATAAATAGAAAAAAAAAAGCCAACTCCCTTCTTTTTCTCCATCACACTGATATGCTCCTCCCCATTGTGCTGTCCTTCAGACTTTAAAGTGCTACACCGAGTTATTGAGAGAATAAAAAGTTCAATAACACTTAAGTTGGCTTCATGAGGCTCATGTTGGAAAATGTGGCTTCACAGAGAAAAATACTTCCATTTAAAATACACAGAGCGTTGCTGGACGTCTTGAGCAGATCTTCAGAGATGGAGAAGAAAGCATAAGTGTTGGATGTTGTTCTGAAGTCACACATCGACCACCATCTTTTTGTGGATATCTAAACCACCTACGACCTGCAGGAGAGAGGACGACCTGAATGTTAGTATAACGCGGCATATGTTTATAATGCATGAATTAAGGCTTGTTCTAAACTTGGACAGACACATCAGTACATACATATAAATAACAAAGTGGACCAAAAACAAGATGGTTCTTAAAGTGACACTAAACTCTGGAGCTAAATCTTAAAAATACATTCAAGTACCCTAACTATTAACAATACTGGACCTAATTTGTGTATCACTCGGCTGCAGCTCTTCAAATCATCTCTGAATTCATGCCGACACTCTCCTTCCTGGAGGGTGGCTACTGTTGTTCCCCATGGTCCGTGTGTGTGTGTTGTAAAGTAGCCACCGCTCCAAGCTCGCTCCACAGATGGACTACAATGTCAATGCCAATTAGTAAACTAATAGTGAGATGAACATTCTCTTGCACTCCTGCGTGCTGCTCATTTCAGTATTGGGCTTTCACTAGCATGGTTCCAGATAATGTGATCATGTTGGCTTTAAAATTGTGATCACTGGTATTTGCTGGAGTATCTTTCTGTGTGTACTCACTGCAAATGGGAAAATACTTTCCTTAAGACAGGGAGATATTTAAAATGAGCAAATTTTAAAAAAAGAATTCTTCCCACTTATTTTGTCTATTCATCAGCCTTTAAGAACTCCAAAATGTACCAAATAAAAGCAACCAATTATTTTAAAAAATGTAGGTTTTGCAAATGAGTTCTGGTTCTTGACACGCACTGTCACAGTTATGTGTTAATTGGTCTGAGTACCTAGGCTTTAATGAAAACCACATCACCAAGTACATCAGCTTCTCTTCAAAATTGGGCCCTGCCCCATCCCTCAACTGTCAAATGGCAGTCAGGGGGCAGCCGAGCCTCTGCCAATTGTGATTTAAAAGCAAAGAACAAAGCCAATCTCAACGTTCCAAGTTGTCAGAGAAAGCACATGATCCATGGCTTCCTAAACTAAACACTGCGATCCTTTACATCCATAGAAACTGCCACCTTCGCCTCCATTTAGACTTGCAGAGGTGTGTTCAGTTGCTCAGCTGATGCGGGTGCCGAATTAGCAAACCGCCGCTAAACGCTGTGCTGCAAGTCAGCGCTCAGCACCAACAGCACTCGCAGTGGAAGCGAATGTGGATGCAGAGCGCTGAGTGATGGAGGAGGTGGGGACAGAGTACCAGCAGCCATTTTCACTGTGAGAACACCTGGCAGTGCTGGAGTAAGGTGCCTGAACCCCAGTGGAAGAAATCAGTTTAGTGTGACAACCTACAATTTCATGTTTTGGTGGACGAGCACACCAAATACTCAATGAAAAATGGTATTAGTCAAAAAAATTATCCTCCGCCATTTTGCTTAGCACCGTGCAGTCAAAGTGTTCAATGAACCTGTTGCAGAACAGCTACTCAGCGCTCGGCTAAGAAAGTGAACACACCTCTGTTATGATGGTGCTGCACATGTGATCAGCCATTTGAGGGTTTAAACATTCGGCTGACAGCAGACATAAGCACAATGGCAACTATAGCAGTTCTGATGAGAGGCATGCCTTGAATGGAACAGTTTTTGGAAACCGTTAAATTAGCGGGTTTAGAGCCACTTTAGAAAAAACTACAAAAGCAGATAGAGCCAAAGGAAATCTCACCACTCCAATTCCTTAGCCGCCATCACGACTCCCCAGGCACTGGTCTAATACGTGCGTTTCCACTGTGGACTTTTGTAGTATACGAACAGACCGCACTAGCCAGAGAATTCCAATACTTCAGACTTTATTGAAATTCACAGCAAATCCAGTAACACCGTGAATGAAAGTGTATAAAGCAGCAAATACCAGCACCGCAAACCCACACCAGCTACAAGCTCTCAAGTTTCACCCGTAGGCTTATTCATAGGACCTCTGTGACCTCTATGAATAAGCCTACGGGTGAACATGTAAGAGGTTGTAGCTGGTTGGGGGGTTTGCGGTGCTGGTATTTGCTGCTTTATACACTTTCATTCACGGTGTTACTGGATTTGCTGTGAATTTCAATAAAGTCTGAAGTATTGGAATTCTCTGGCTAGTGCGGTCTGTTCGTATAATATTACAAGACCATATAATCTGCAGTTCAGTATCCGACACCCTAACACATGCCTAATGCTCACCCATCAACCACCTCAAGGTTTTTCTTTTCTCTGCAGAAAGGGTGACCAAAGCAGACCACATACACCCCCAGAAGCAGTCTGAGGTTCACAGGCTTTTTAGTGGAACTACAGACAAGCCACCAAACATCTGAAATGTGTGTACAGTCTTGCCAACCCAAAAATGTGTAGTTTCAGTCCTTCCAACACAGAACAGCAAAGAAGGGAATCGATTTTTTGGTTCAGCAATGTAGCTTTCTATCAGACAATGAGTTGGGTTTTGTCTAATGACCACAGGCCTGACCGTTGAAGGTAAAGATCTGAACAAGAAACCACTGAAGTGAAGTCCGTGGCTGAACAGTGTGGTAGAGGTGTGTAAATCACAGGAAAGGTTGACCAAACTTTACAATACTATTAGATTTTTAAAAAAACTTACGTACTTCAATAGTTCCCAATCATGTCTATATAGCAGTTGACCTGCAGTTCCTCTTTAATAGTGCTACATTTTAAGAAGGACCTGGCAGTACGTTCCTGGTATTAGTGACTTCCTTTTAAAGCTGTTGGCTTGTTGGCTGCAGGGCTGAGTTCTTTGTTAAAGCTTTAGTGGGTCAATGACCTGGAACTATCCTTTGAAAAACACTGATGGCAGCTCCTACTTTTCTGAATACAGTACTCACAGATTTAATTCATCCATCAAAGCTTATATGCATTACACCGCAAACTATTAATATCCTTATAAGCACAGCTTCAGGGGCATCATTGGCACAGTAATGCATACCTAAAACAAACTTCCTTGCTGCTGTTTACCATCAGAGGAAAGACTCAATGAACCTCAAGCTGCAGCGTTTAAGAGCAGATTTATGTAATCGGTAGTAAAGCAAACACATCTAAGCAAACAATATTCAAGACACTTCGCCTTGTACTTAATACAATGAACGGCTGTGCAAAAACTATCTAGATAGATATTTTTATTTTGCAAAACTCCCACCCACATACATAGATATATAAGTACTTAAACACATATTAGGTTTTATATTATTTACAATCAGACTTGCACAGATGGACCAATAGCAGATGACACAGGCACACATGGTAGTAGAAACTGCATTCAAACTATTTTAAATTCAGGTTGCCAGCATTTTATAACATTTTAATAGTCAGCAAACATACCCAACATATCTTAAAATTATCAAAACAATTTTCTTTTGTGTTATATTACTGCTGAAAGCACCTCTACAATACTCCTTATTGGAAAATAAGGACAGAGTGTTCAACATCCTGACCTGATTTATTAAAATAAAGCACTTTGCAGATAAATCCCCCAGCGCAGATCTACTATTCTGCCCTTACTTGATCCTATTCTTGCTGGCAAACACATCCAGGCAATATTATGTTAACCAGCAACTTTGCCATTCTGTTTACACACCAGATTAGGTGGGATAACAGATTTCCAATTGTAATTTTGACTTCTGCCAGTTCACAGCCTAAAAAAATAAATAAATCTGCAAGTTACTTGAAATTGGAGGTGTGGCAAATTCCTGAGTACAGCTCTTTGAGTGTTCCGTCACTCAGCAGTTCAAGCAGATGAACTTTGGTCTGACTGCATTCACGGGAAACACAAAATCACAAACAACTCCATACTTACAGCACAGAATTCTTCAAAAGATATTCTCCCATCGCCATCTTTATCTGCATTGATAATCGTTTTGTCTACTATTTGCTGTAACTGTGTGTCCTTAAGGTTGTTTCCGACCATCATCTTCAACACCTGGAAAAGCTCGCCGTTTGAGATATAGCCATCCTTGTCCATGTCATATATACGGAAAGCAACTTGGGAGGAAGAAAAACAAAAATCATGTCAAATCCATGCCCAGATACCCATGCATAACGCCCAATGCCCAGTTTTGTGTAGGTAATCCCTCTTGGAGATGACTTGCATGCAAAACTTTCCTCCTGAGGTTACCCACAGTGTAACGTTTTAGCCATTTAGAGGAAACCTTTCCACAAACAAGCATGATGGCTGACATTTTTGACATCATGCAAAAGCTTGTTGCAAATGTCGCCGGGAGTCTGTTTAAACAGCCCCGATGCTGGCGACGTACACTGTACGTCGTCAGTCACGAAGGGGTTAAGTTGGACTTCTGGAAAACAGCTGAATACAAAGTTGAAATATATACTTTATTAAGGCCCATTCACTCTGGTTCAGTGTCATTGTGGTCCGTTGGTTTGCGATCCATTTCGCAACGGATGCTAACGGAAGGGCACTGAAAAATGAATGGGTGTGAATGTGGCTAGGGAATGTTGCAGTTTCTAAAATAGAACATGTATGGCTTTATTTCAGCACAGCATACTGTAACTGACCCGGTGTGAATTAGCCCCATTCACACATTCATTTTTCGGAGCCCTTCCGTTCGCACCTGTGGAAAAGCGGATCGCTATGGATGTGAATGAAATCAGAAGGTACAACTCTAATTCAACAGACTCTCCATTGACTTGTGATCTCCTTCCGATTTGGTGGCAATGGGCCCTTAACCCTCAGTTCTGATTCTACAGTGTTTAAGATGCTAGTAAATTGGACCTATAAGTGATGTAACAAGCAGATCTTGCCTTTGAACACTGGCTGAAATTATTATGTGCAAATGGAAAAGTAGTGGTATACTGCAACCCCATATAATGGTCCTACCATCATGTTTAAGGTCCTCATAAATGATCACATGCAACATTCTTATGGGATATACTGGGAATCCCATCTTTTTTTTTTTACCATTTTGTGATTTTAAACACACAACCGTTGCAATTCTTGGCTCAGGCTTTAAGGTTTGCTTTACCTTTGTCAGCAAAAGGTTAAGATGCTTTTTACTGCAATTAAATGCAAAAAAGGGGAACTTTCCTGCGTGGGGATCCATTATACACACTGGCTTTATTATATACCTGGCTGATTGTCTACTTTGACTAAGCACCAGACAGGACTAAAGGCTTGAGCTTAGGCTCCATTATTTCCTTCTGGCACTCAGGTGTCTGTGCGACATCACACATCCAGAGTGGGCCAAAAATACCAAAGATGCTGGAACACTGCATGCAGAGCTGCTTCTAAACCCGAAAAGACTCTCCTGGCTCCAATCCAACATATGCACACAGTAGAGACATGTTAAGAGTAAAAGACTGTTCAACTGAAATTTACATTTTTTCATGAAAATGATATTTTGGGTAGATCCAAGCAAAGTAAATAGGTATCACTTGGTGCCTGTTATCTTCATTCTGTCCTCTGCCCCCTAATACACTGTTTAGAGCCACAAGAAGAAATTTTTGAAAGCCTACGGGGGGAATTTATCAAAACTGAATCTGGAGTAGTTGTCCATGGCAACCAATCAGCTTCTCTCTTCAGTTTGCTCAGGTAAGATTTGAAAATGAGACACAGAAGCTGACTGGTTGCAGTGCAAATCTGCTCCAGATACGGTCTGCTCCAGTTTTGATAAATTCTCCCCTAAGTGTTTAGGATTTGAAAAAGGGTTGGGAGGGGGCAAAAGATCAGGGGTATGGGCATTAACTGGCATTGTAAATTAGGTGTCCTATGGGGCCTACATTGCAGCATGTATACAGGCTCGCTCTAAATAGCAAGTTCAACCACACACATTAGTCTCCATAAAGGTTTCTGATACAACATCCCAACCATACTCTCACATTCCTAGGATGACAAATCTTAATAAAAAGCAAGCAAGACAAGATGTTCAGAAGCAGCGTTTTGTAATTGGGGCATGTAAAGGTGAACAGCAAAGTGCTTCCAAAAAGGTAATAAATCTAGGAGACTGACGTGTTGAAAAATGTAGAACCAATCAAACTTTGCCTTTCCTAAGGAGAAGAGGAAATAACCTCTCATTGTACTGGGTGATTAAAATGAAGATAAACAACTCTGCCAACACTTGTCTGTCTCAGTGACAGACCTGATAACCATTCCATCCCCTTCACCTCCTGTTGGATTCACATTTTAACAGACAAAAGGGAACTCATGTTAGCAGTGAAGATACATATGGAAAGATTCAACTCTTCATATTAGATAGAGATCAGAGGTTGATTATTGTAGACTAAAAAAACATGTTCTAATAAGTCTGCACCAATAGTGCTTTTAGCATAATGTTAGCTGACAGAGGAATGCTGCAGGACAACCAATAATATCTACACAGTTGCATGTCATCATGCCTGCAAAAAATGTCAGAGCCTTTCACACATGGCTGCCTACACACTACGTGCAATACTTACACCTCAGTTTCTGTTCCTTGTCACCCTTTACGCTGAACTGAGAAACTCCTTCGATAAATTCTGCAAATAAAAAAAATAGATCACAAATTTTAGAAATGTATCTTGGATAACTAATGACATTTATTGTCCATGGGCGTAGAATTTCAACCAATCCTAACAGGTGACCAATAAATAAGACACATCTAATCTACACAGTGGATGTGAATGGAGAAAACTCCTCCCTCAGACCCATTTATAAAGGCCTGCGGGGTCATTACTTCTACGGTAGTGAAGTTGTGGTTGCTCAGGAACACCGATCTGTGACAACCATTGCTTTCTATCCTTTGTTATTTCCAGGATTTCCGGTGAATGTATATCTTGACTTGCTATTGTAATGTTTACCTTAAAACAATATTTGCTTTCTGGAGACGCGCACATGAGTAATGCACATAGAGTGAGGCACTTACAATGACCTGAGGGGACTGACGGGAAGGCTAAAACTGCTGCAAGTGCAAACCGCCACAAATAACTATTCACATGCATTCTCCTTCAGAAAGATCTCCAATCAAGACAATAGCAATCTAATCTATGAGAAAGTAGAATCCTGAGCACTCATAACTTTTTCTCTTTTATAGCATTTTTACATACGCAGGCTGGAAAAATCTGGCCAATGATGACTGTCTTAAAGTGACTCAATTCAGATGTTGAATCTTAAAAATGCATTCAAGTACCCCATCTAGACCTGGTGGTTGGGTGATACTTGGCAGGCATTAAACACCAGCCAAACATTTTGGCATTCATCTTATGGATACATAATGTGTGTAAACATGTAATAACCTTGGCAGTTTCATTCTAACTATATGTAGAAACATTTAGAAACCTTAAAATAAAGATAATTTACATTACAGGGAACTTGCTACTTTTAAGCTACTAAACCAATAGCACCTATAGGTGGTCAAGAAGACCATCAATCACAGCAATGGGCTAGAAAGGTGAAGTGGAGGGGCCCATAACTCAACATTGGGAGCTGGAGTTGATATTTGTATAATAATGTACCCCAGGTTTGATGACTCCCCCAAAGTATGCGACGTTGCATATGTTAAGTTCAAGAGCTGCTGGCCTTTCTGCATCCTTAACAGATATTATCAGAAGAGGTCAAATAAAAAGCTACGTTTAGAACGTAATTCTTTCAGACACTTTCACTACACAGAGCAACAGAACTATACAAATTCCAGCAATTAACTCATATATTCCCCCACAGCTGGGCATGTTGAGGTTTTATAGCAAAGATCCAAGTCTTTCTCAGTTAAAGAGTACGAGCAGCATAAAGCCATGCAATGCTTGAAAACAACAAAAAAGCATTCATTCCTATACTGTACTATAAAACAAGCAGGCTAACCAAATTTAGTTGGCAACAACCAAAAACAGCTTGAGGCTAGCCACAGGATCCAGATGGTAGTTGGATGCACAAGGGCAATCTGTGTATCATTCAATCACAGAACACCTTAAGGGGAATAAAAACTGGAGCAGCTGTGCATGGCAACCAATCAGCTTCTCTCTTCAGTTTGGTCAATTAAAATGTGAAAATAAGAGATTGGTTGCCATGCACAGCTGCTCCAGTTCTGATAAAAGAACACAAGGCAATTTAAGAATAGAAGAGGGAGAAGGAACGGTGCTGCTCTTGACTGTATGAGAGATGGAAGTGCGATTTACAATGCCAGAACTTTGGCGATTGCTGTAGTCGCTGGGATGACCAAAAGTATGGGTTTTACCCAACGCCTCAGTATCCACACATGTAACACCCATGAGAGGCAATTTATTGGTATATATAGTCCGGGCAGGACAAATCCCAGGAGCCAGGTGACCAATGTGCTTACAAAGTTACAGCTAGCATCCAACTCTTGAGGTTTTTCTATAGTAGTTGTCAATGGAGCTGGCTACTAACATAAATCCTGCTGGCTCCTGGATTGGACAGACTGGCTCCTGGATTCCATATTAAATTTGTCCACCCCTGGATTTAATGAGAGATACAATTATGGACCTCTCCTGAAAATGATAGCTACCTGGCTATTAACTGATCCTCTGGCTTTAGCAAGTTATTATATAAACAAGGTGAATTATAGCAGTACACTTTTTACTTGACAGTTCATTCGTTAAGATGGAACATTTGCACTGAACCAATGAGAGCTCCATTCACTGGTTACCTACAAATCCCTTTATTTGAAAAGCCTGAAACTCTATGAATACTGAAGCAGCAGAGAGGTACTGAAAGCCTGCATATACCTACAGCAGCTGTCGCTATCCTCTGCTTCGCCTGCATGCTGGACAGGGTTTGACAGGCAACATTAGGACACTTACAGGTAGTGTCACAGCTTCCTGGCAAGCATGTTGCACATTTTCATGAGCTTTTTTGCATGTCTAAACTCACGTTCTTCCATTGCCTGCAATGTTTCATGAGCTGCCAGTCAAAACACGCGTCTTTATGTACGCGTGTAAAAACACGCAAATAACTGCGTGCTGCTCGCGTGCGTACACATGTGCAAAACCGATACAGCCTAGATGTGAACCAGGCCTAAGCCCTCGTTCACACCTGAACGTTTTACGCTCGACGAAAGCTCTACAAAACGCTCAAAAATATAAATCCCATTGTATTCAATGGTCTCGTTCCCACCTTGGCGTATTTCCGCCCGTCCCTAACGCGCTACAAAACGGTCCACGCCTGAAAAGGTACATGTACTACTTTGGGCCGTTTTGTTGCGCGTCTCCATTGGGATACAGCCAAGAAGCCTTCGGAAACGCACGTTTGTTGCGCAACTTTACCGCGAATCGCGATAAAAAAAGACTGCAAAAGAAAGCGTACATATTTGTGTATGTTATCAAGAGCTCTTTAACATAATGCAAGTCTTGTTTGGTTTTTTTTACTTTTGATTGGTCCAGCGAAGTAACCTCTAATGTAGAATATACCAAATCCAGATGGCTTCTGGGGATGCTAAAAATCTTGTTTGGCTTCATGATGGATACTACTGGCAGCTCTGGTTTGCTAGGAGCTGCTGTTGTGAGTTCCAGGTTTCATACAGTGAAGGAGAGCCGCTCTGGTCCCCTTCCTCCCACCTCAACCATTGATAAAACGTCGGTTATTCTTTTCACTGGGCTCAAGATGTTCTAGAAATGGACACGGGGAGGAGGCCGAATGACAAGACTTCCCCTTGTCCAATCAGAGATCACTGAGGGGAATTTATCAAAACCTGGAGCAGGTGGCCACAGCAGCCAATCAACTCCCATCTTTCTTTTTCAAAGCTTAACTGAACTGAAAGAGAAGCTGATTGGTTACCATGGGCAACTGCTCCAGTTTTGATAAATCCCCCTTGTCTTCTGTAGACTTTTCAGGTTTAGGCTTTCTCCCACACTACTTAAATGACGTGCTTTACTCCCGTTATGTCCCTGTTGGAGAGATTTTACCTTACTGCTTATCTTGGTGATAATGGTTTTACAGGGACAGGTTAAAATTGCTCAGACTGACACAAAGACAGCAATACAATTCTGACCAGGTGTTCTAAAAAAAAAAAAAAACACACACACTCTGCAGCTTCAATAGTATTGGTTGTCGTATTGGTGACCAATTACTAGTATTTGTACATTGAAAAGCTCTATTATGTGTACATAGAATCAGCTGGAAATATTTAAACGTCTTCTTTCAAAATACATTTTAGAGTATTTTATTCAAGTCTATGTGAATGTCTCCATGCCGTATCGGTTACTATAACTGCATGTCTTAATACAACATACATATTCAACAGTTCAGGGCCTCAGATCAACCTGACATTCTCTCGGTGGCCATCTACAAAGGGGGTTCAGCTTATTAGTAAATGGGTAAGGCTTAACTTACAGAAGGCCTGCAAATACATTGTCACCCGTCCATAAAAAAAGGCAATGTATACACTTTCTACCTACTTCAACCGGTTCACTGTGATAACATCTGTTCTACAAACATACAGGGGTTACCCAACGTCACAGGTCTATAAATTGTAATGTCTATGCAGGCAAACGTCATTACAAAGATGTACGCATTAACCGAGTGGCAAATAGGACTTATGTGTAAAGACTCTTAGGCAGTAAATCACCTTGGCCTTTTTCCTCTAACATAATCTACAGCATGCCGTGACACTAATTTGTTCACTTTAATGGTTTCTGTGGTTTATAAAAGTCCTGATGGCCGCTGTCATTTTCTTTGTATGAAGATTCAAAGAAAAACAAAACCTGAATCTTTTCAGAAATATATCTACAATAATTGATATATAAAACAGTATCCGTATCATATAAACTTCAGCCAGACTCATTGTTTACATCATATGCTGTACAGAAAACTGAAAGGCTTAAGTATAACGAAGAAAAGATGTCTTACCTTTAAAGTCTACCTCTCCGTTCCCATCGGTGTCAAATATGTCTATTACTCGCTGCACGAGAGGGTTCTGTTGGAGCTCAGGTAAAGACATGAATTCCTCCACACTCAGAGATCCCGAGTTGTCCAAGTCAAGTTTCTTAAATCTCTTTCCTAGCCTTTTGATCTCATCAGCATCGACTACAAGACAAAGGAAATGTGTACATTATTATTGGGTTATGTTTATGTAGTTGCATAAAAACGGGGAGACAAGTCATAACAGATACAAAGCTAAAAGAAACAAAAAAAAAAACTTTTCCTTGCTCAGACGGAGCGGCTGTTTACGTTTGTGCGGTCAGAGACAAAATGTTCAAATGATTAGTCCAATTACCTAGTCTTCTGCCAGTGCCAGCCATACCAGTCAAATCTGAGGCTCACTTGGAACTATGTTGACTCGTAGACTAAGCGGACAGGCACGGCTAATACTTGCCTAATTCCGCATGATCACATGGCATAATTAATGTGGACAAGCTAAGCAGATCACTGGTCATTTCATGCCGGCACAGTTGGGGGATACTGAATGAGTGCAAGCAGATTTTACAACCTTCGCTTGTTATGAAAGCAAAAAGGTACAATTTTAAAAAATATTTACAAGGCGCACTGCAAGGGTGAATGCATTTTTACCCTGGAGAATTTGTAAACAGTTCTGTCACATGGAATAGCCCTGTGCAACAGAGAATAAAACCTTACTTTCCTCTGCTGCAGTTGAGTGACACATGTCTTGCCCCCCTGCCTGTGACTGGACAATAAAAGGAGAAACAGTAGCTTCCCGTCTCCTCCCATCAGCATACTGATTGCATTACAGACATACAAAATCTGCAGGGGATCAAATCATTAGTATCCTCACTGTTTATATTTTAGAACATAGTATCCTTTCTGCTTACGGTCTGTCCCTCCTCACTGCAGTACAACATGGGTTGAACAAACACTTTTGGGTGTGTTGGATGCCTGTGTCTTGGGGGTGCATCTTTTTCTTATGGTTACCAAGTCACCAAATTAGAACAACAACTATGTTATATTTGTTACATTTTTCCCGCTCACATAGCCTAACATCAGACTGTAATTGCCGCTTGCATAAAACATGCTCAGTTCTCAAAGAAAAGGTTTTCACTATACTGAATGCAAGGTGTGGGGGGTGTTTATGATAATGCCTGTATATATAATGTCTGTACTGTGCTGACAGATCTCATTAGTGGTCAACTAGATTTGAACAATATCCTAACAAAGGGTTAAAGATTTAGAAGCATTATATGTTAATGAGGGGGAGCTTAGCCGGTCCTTAAGCTGGCCATACAGAAAATTGCACAGTGGGTGCCGCTGTCAGCACCCTTTCGGCCAGTCGGAAAATCTGTAAACAGAGCTGGCAGCCAATGAGCTGCTGGCTACTGGCTATATAATAGTAAAAGATATCTAAAAAGTTAAGAAATACATATTTGTAAATGTTGGGTATGATGCGTAAATAGGAACACTTAAACATAGTGGGGGTTTTCTCAAATGTGTCTGTGAAAGTGGAAACACACCAAGGAAGACAGTAGTGAGAGGTCGGGTGGGAGGGTATGCAGGTATCCAACACACATGGAAGTGCTCAATGCGGAAACATTTTGTCAGTGGCTGTAACTCAGCAAAAGCGCAAAGATAGACTGCAAGGAGTGACCACTGGCAGACAATATACTTATAGTATAGAAGGCTGCCCTGGTTCCGATTCTCTAAAACAGCTATAAGGGCTGCAATTGCTGAAGATGCTTTTTGCCTGGCCGCTATGCCAACCAAGTAGCTTAAGGCTGGGCGTACGGAATGCGCGCTTTACCGCGATTTGCTGTAAAAGAAACGCGCGACAAACGCGTCCGGCTGTATCCTAATGGATACCTGCGGCAAATACGCCCCAAAGAAGCTCCTGTACTTCTTTGGGCATAGGGCTTTTTCAGCGCGTTCCTACGCGCTGTAAAACGCCCAGGTGGGAACCATGCCCATAGGCAATTATTGGTTTTCACATGTTGAGCGTTTTACAGCGCGTAGGAACGCGCTGTAAAACGCCAAGGTGTGAACCAGGCCTAAATCATTTCTGAGTAAATGTTCAACAAGCATGTAAATCGGAAAAGACCTCCATCTGTACGTTTCTTCTGGATCGGTGATTCTGCATCAAAGCCACTGGGTCAACAAATGCCAAACTACTAACATTTTCAGAAGGAACGGTTGCCCTGCACATTTCTGCCATGGCAGGTATTCTTTTATAAAGAATGGTGCATCAGGTTGTTCGATTGGAGCTACCATAGTAATACTAAGCAATGGGTCTGCATGGAATGTGCACTCAACCACTCTCTACAGTCCTATGGATTCCTCCGGAGTACAGACATGCTACTCTAGACGCCTGGCATAAATACTACTCGCAACTGATTAAATATTACAATTCACCATTACTGGCTCTCACAGGACACTCCTACGTCCCCACAGGATTCAATAACTCCAGTTTCCTTTTATGGTCTTCCACAACTTCTGAGGTTTACACCAGATTTGCACTGGGATCCCAACTGCTTCCTCTACAAACCCTCAGGTAACGTTGGGGGGGACACACATCCCTTGGACTCCTGGAGATTCCGACAGCTGCATCACTTTGTATCCTCTCTTCCTCCACTCCAAGGTGGACCTCTCCCCTATTGAAACCCTTTTACACTCATCAACTCCCCCCACCCTTGGAATCTCTCAATTATACAAAATTCTCCTGACAACACATACTACAGATCAGTGGTTCTCAACCTGTGTAACCTCAGGACCCTCATTTGTCCTTGGCCTTGAAGTCACACTGCAATTGAATGCACAGCATTAGGGTACCACGCATTCCGGTGCGGGCGTAAGAACTGTGGGTGGGAGGTGCATTTGGCATGCCATTCAAATGAACTGCAACGCAACACCTCCCACACCAGAATGCACGGTAGGTGCGGTTGCGTGGCACAGTGCATTAATCGAACGGGCCCTCAAAAACACTGGCACAATCTGACACGCTCACAGACATTCTCACATACACACTCCCAAAAAAATGTAATGTAAATTTTTTGTAAGTTCCACCGAACCTCCCCACCTTCTGAGAACTGGAGTGGATCCTCAGCCAGGGGTCCAGTGTGGGCTGCTGTGCTGGAGCTTCATCCATATGTGCATTGCTGGTGCGCTACCTTGCGCTCCCTATAGAGGTTTTCGGGAGCCACAATGTGATGTCACTCTTGTCCAGGCACCTCTATAGGATACGTGAAGGAGCTGCAAGCAATGCACATATGGATGGAGCTCCCTCACAGCCATAGCTCCATCCCATCTCAAGCTGAAACTAGGAGCTGGGCAGCATATTTTGAAGCACAGCATGGTGCAGGAACTGACAGTGATGTGCTAGGGGGAGACAGAGGGGCCTCTCACCTAAAAAAGTATAAAGGCTTGCGGCGACCCACTGAAAACGGGGGCGCGACCCACTTCTGGGTCACTACCCACCAGTTGAGAACCAAGGCTATAGATGCTCCTTCTTATATCTCCACATGGGAAAGAGTTCAATGTGACCTTTGACGCTCAGACACAAAAGATTCGGTCTCAACTCGTGCTCATCCATCAGCACTCGGGTTGTTGAATCATCCTTTAAATTCCTGGCTCACCGGTACTACACCCCGACCTGCCTCCTCTACATGCACCCTTCTAGACCAAATACTTGTTGGGAGAAATTGTGGCGACGTACACTCATACTTGGTGGCACTGCCTAGGAATCTCTGGGGCCAGGTCGTGCACTTTATTAACCTAATCACTGATTCGTCCATTAACCTAGACCCCCCCCCCCCTTCTATGTTTACTACATTCCTCTGCCATACCGTTATCCAAATATAAACAACCTCTGCTCACTCA